TGGCAGGCTACTCTTTTTTTGGCTGCATAGCATGGAGGTGGGGCAAATTTGGCCCTCCAGATTTTGTCAAACCAAGACTCACTCCTATTATTTTATTTCTGTGGTGGTTTATTGCATTTATACCCCCCCTTTCCTCCCAAGTTGCTCATGGTTCTCCTTCTCAATTAATCCCCACAACAGCCGTTTGAGGTATCTTAGACTGAGAGGCAGTCCAACAAGGGCATCCAGTGAGTTTCATGGCTGGTGGGGATTTGAACCCTCGTCTCCCAGGTCCTAGTGCTCTGATGATTACACCACACTGGCAATCTGGCAAGCATGGCCAATGGCCAGGGATTATGACATTTGTAGTTCAAAAATCCAGCTCTGGAGGGCCAAAGGTTCTCCAAACCTGCATTAGCATTGGTTCATTGTCCTTTCCTTTTAATTTCTGTTCAAAGTTTGGCAGTGTTGAACAGTGTTTTTTGTTTGGTGGTTGTCATTCCCCTCCCCCACCATCATATAAGCCAGAATGACTAAACATTTGAGCCGTTCTGGAAAAATAAAATGGCAGCTGCCAAGAGAGCCTTTGCTCTTGCTTCTGACTCCCAAGTGAGTGACAAATGGAGCATTAAAATATACCCTATTCATGACATTTGGCTACTCCTTCCATGTGCTCCATAAATTGTGAATAATGAGTCAAATATATATGACCATAAAAAGAGCTCTGCTGCATCTAGCCAAAGGCCCATCTAGTCCATCATCCTGGTCTCACAGTGGACAACAGCTTGTATTCAGAGACATCCTGCCTCCAACAGTGAAGGTAGAACATAGGCATTGTGGCGAGAAGTCATTGGTAGCCTTATCCTCCATGAATTTGTCTAATCCTGTTTTAAGGCCATCTGAGTTGGCGGCCGTCTTGTGGAAGTGAATTCCATCATTTTAAGTATGTGAAGAAGTACTTCCTTTGGTCTCCTCTGAATCTCCTAACATTCAGTTTCAGACTTGGTTCAATTTTTCTTTTGTTGTGAGAAAATGTACATCCCTATAGCAGAAGAGCTCTCCTGGAACTTTAAAATGTGCACTGAGGGCCTAAAAAAAAGCAAATCCTAATAGGCAGATGATTGTTGACTGACCAGACAAAATGGCCTTGCTGTTCTCCCTCCCTGCCCCCCCAATGCTCCATGTTAATAGAAAACCATAAAACAAGACTACAATGGTACCTTGGTTTATGAACTTAATCCGTTCCGGAAGTCCGGTCTTAAACCAAAACCATTCTTAAATCGAGGCTTGCTTTCCCTAATGAGGCCTCCTGCTGCCAGTGCCCTCCCACCGTTTGGATTCCATTCTTAGACCGAGGTAAAATTCTCAAACTGGGACACTACTTCCGGTTTTGCAGAGTCTGTAAACCAAATCATTCTTAAACCGGACTGTTCTTAAACCGAGGTACCACTGTATTTTCAATTTGCTCTTCCTTAATAAAACAAAACAAAAACAAAACCATGTTCCTTCAGTGAATATAGGCAGCTTTTACTCTGGGCTCCACTATCAGACCTATTCAAATAGTAGTGAGTTGAACAGAGTGTAGGGTTCTCTTGGAACACACCAACCAAAACGTTAGACAATAGCTTTATTGTTTTTCTTAAACAGGCACAGTACAGCAACATTACCTAAAGATGATGTTATATCCAGCAGCAAGCTTAAGCAAACTGTGTGGACCAGGGCTGGTGGGAGTTGTAGTTCAACAACATCTGGAGGGTGTAAGGTTGGCAAAGGCTGTTCTAATAAGAACAGATCCATTGAAATGAAAGGACAGGAGTCACTTAAGTCCATTGATTTCTGAGTAGGGCTTTCATTGGATTCAGCCCTAGGATTCATTGAGACCTGTTCGGTTCCTTCATCTTGTGTATGGATAGTACTGTGACTGGTATTAGGAGAACTGAGAATGTTATTGGTATATACAAGGTGGACCTGCAGCAAAATGTTACAAAATTGACTGCTCCTATTTGTGGTTCCAGGATACTCCCTTCCATTTCTCCTCACACTGCTTTGTATCCCCCTCTGCCCAAGCATGCTGAGTCCTCACTGGGCTTTTTGGGTCCCCCCCCCCCGCTTAGCAAGGAAAACCTCTACGAGATATATCTACAAACCTTGGGGTTCCCTCATGTCTGCTTCTGTTTATTACTATTATAAATATTATGATCTTGAGCATGGGAAGTGCTGATTATCAGCTGCCTAAGAACTGGCACTCATGGTGCATTCAGACATAGGTAATATTGTGTTAGTTTTCCAGATTATAATGTTAGAGATTCCTTTCATGCTGCAGTATCTGTGTCATTGAACTGTGGCTTATTTACCAATATACTGGCATGTCTCGTTAAGTTTTGTCCATGGTGTGACGCAACAACAAACATCATTGGGTGATGCCACTATTCCCCATGCTTTACACATATGTATGCTTTTGCCTCCCAGCTCCCAATGATTCACCCATAAAAATGGCAGGAAAGAATTGTATGCCGATATATCGCTTCAGTTTACTGTGTGCCAGTACAGTGCTCCATTTTATTCCTGTGATTTTCTGGGTTAATGGGTCTGCATATGTTTTCTTTTCTGGATGCAATTAACATAGAAATGAACACTAAACTCCACTATATTCTGTTAGATTTTTAGAAGTGGATTTTACGTCATGTGAAAGCTCAGATATAATGGGGAAATGGAAATGTGTAGGGAAACGTCAGGGAAATGGAATAAACTGCTGTGTCAATGCAGCCTAAGTGCCCTATTAGTAAATGGAAGGGTGGGATGATGGGTTCTAGGGCAAGGATGACAATCCTGTTGCTCTCCAGGTGTGGGTGGACTCCAGGTCCCATCAATCCCAGCCACCATGACAGGTGGGCATGGTGGATTTGGAGTCCAGCAGGTTCCTCAGCCCTCTCCTAGGACATGGCTTGACTATGAGATCTCTCTCAGGAAACCTTTTGTATACACCATTGTCAGTTCCATGGTGGAAGAAGAAAGGCGAACTCTAAACATAATAAAGAAACATGGCATCACGTTTACGGAGAATTGAAAGATTTATTTATTTCTTTGCTTTTACTTTTAATCATATCATCAATTCATACTGTGTTACAGTCAAGCACAAGGTAATAAGAAAAACAACAACTTAATAATAATAATAATAATAACATAACTTATTCCTCCACTCTTACATACCTTGACTTTAACTCCCCTTCCACTCTTTCCCTGGTTTCCTATCTGATATCTTTTCAAACTGCGTTTTCTTACTCTACTAAATTGTTTTCATTACCATACACTATTCCACTTTGTCACGTCTACTGCTGAGTATTTTTTCACTTTGTTACACTTATTTTCTTGTTATAATATTTTTCCATATACTGTAATCTATATATAATGTCCAGTCTTCTTTTAGTTTCTTATCATCTTTATTTCTTAATCTGTTTGTCATGCTGGCAAGAAATGAAAATTAAAGCTGCTTGGCGGTATACTTGTTCCACCGGTGAGATGTTTTGCATCAGAGGAACATTGTTGAGCATGAGAATGCATAAGCAGGTTGCTGGTAACTTTGTTGCACAAATGATTGTACAATCTGTTGTGCAATGTGTTTGTGCTAGTGCAAGTGTTGTGCTGGAGTCCTCAGTTGCACAGCATTAAACTCACCCACCCGCTAGTGCATGAGCACTTGTGCTAGTGGACGGAGAATGTTGGATACAGCCCCATGTGTTCAGTGCCTGGGACAAACTCTTTAAAAGCCACTAATAACCTACTGGTGATTGGTATAAAATTAAGAATTAATTTAGTTTTGGGAAGTACTAGACTGCAGTCCTCTCCGCACTTACTTGGAAGTGAGCCTTACTGAATTTTGCTAGAATTACATCTCAGAATTACTTCTCAGTACTGTAAAGACTGCACTGTTAAGGCTGGTATCCAGAAGATTTTGGTTTCAACATCCAAACCCATAAGAAGGAAATTTGATTTTGCTGGTAGGGCTCTCATTGTGTGGCATTACTGTGGCTAACCAGTAGCTTGTTGCCATTGGTTGGAGAGCAACTTTATATTGAGAGGATATTGCAATTCCAACACACATGCAATTCCAACACACATATTTTAAGTTTCCCAATGAAGAACAGCACATTTTTTGCAAGTTGCTTGGTCACTTAACGTTCTGGTCAAAGGCTACCACATTATACAGCTTTGGAACTACAGACTTTCCTTCTACAGAATCTATTATTCCATCAGATCAGCTGTGGCCACTCTCAACTGGAAGTGCCTGTGGCCTTAGACAGAGGTCTTTTCCAACTCTTTTGTTGGTGAGCCTTTTAACTGGAGATGAGAGCCTGTGGATTGAGCTTGGGACATTCTGCATGCAATGCAAGTGCTTGACCATGGAGCTTATAGGACTGCAGGAAAACAGCTCTTTAATGATCAGAGAGGAGTGCTACGCAGAACAGTCAATTTCTAGCTAGCATGGTGCTGGAGCGCTCAAGGCAAGCCCTGTCCTCTGACCTACAGCTTTGCCCCCTAAATAAGGTGGGCAGAAGGTAGTTTGCTGGGTATTTTGCAGTACATTTCCAACTCCCAGTCGTTGAACAATGGTAACAACAACAAAAACTACTTTCCCCACCTAAATTAGTCTGTTGAAATGAGGGGAGCTAACCAGTAGTGGACTTCTGTGTGAAAGGACCGTGAACTCACCTCATTTCTGGCACTGAAAACAAATCCCACCTAGGCTGATAATGTGGTCAGTGGAACCCTGTTCTTTAATTCTAACTCCCCCCACCCCCAATCTGGCTCTGAATGATTCAGGTTCTGGGGGAAAAAATGAGTTAGACCTGTCAAACTGGAAGTCTATCCACCCTTGTCCTAAACACAGATGGGTAGGGGTAGTGAGGGAAAAGCTTTTGGCTTGTTTTACATTGTATGTTTCTGGTCTGAGCCTGCCCTGCTCATAGACTCACAGAATTGTAGAGTTGGAAGGGATCACAAAGGTCATCTAGTCCAATCCCCTGCAATGTAGGAGCTCAAACCCATGACCTTGAGATTAAGAGTCTCATGCTCTGCCAACTGAGGTACCCCAGCTGCTATTGCAAAAAGGTTCCGAGAAGCCCTCAGAGTAAATCCTGACTGAGGGAAATAGACTTAGGGGTTGCAGCCAATGCTAGTTCTACTCAGAGTAGACCCATTGAAACATGGCTAACTTAGGTTTATGGAAACAAAAAAATTCCTTCCAGTAGCACCTTAGAAACCAACTAAGTTTGTTATTGGTATGAGCTTTTGTGTGCATGCACACTTCTTGAGATCTTCAAGCTCATACCAGTAACAAACTTAGTTGGTCTCTAAGGTGCTACTGGAAGGATTTTTTTTACTTTGTTTCGACTATGGCAGACCAACACGGCTACCTACCTGTAATTAGGTTTATGGGTGTAGAACTTAGTTGGATACACTTAGTGCTGTAATACTAAACATACCTTAGTGCTGTAATACTAAACATACCTTTCAAGTAACAAACAACCAGAGCTTTTTTGCATATGCAAATCCTAGGCTTGTTGATGCCTGAAGCATCATATTAAACCCCTTCAGTACATGAAGATGCATGCATGGACCAACCCTATTGTCCCTAATTAATGTAACGAAATCGCTGTTCAGACAAACACCCTCATTTGCAAGATCACCTGCAAGCTGTGGCATACTAGTGAGCCTCCTGGCTACACCCCTTCATCAGCCACATGATTAGCATCAATGTCAAAGGGGTCTATGAGCATACAGATGTACCTGGTCTGATGGCTGTTGATGCAGCCACCTTAATGAAACTAAGCAAGTCAGCCATTGGCGAATGCCTGAATGGGAGACCACCTAGGAACCCAAAGGTGCTGCCTTGTTTTCCATAATGAAACAAAGCTGGGATATAAATGTATTATATAAAAACATTTCCCCTTATGAGTGGAGAAACAGCCCTGATAAGAGATAATAAAAAGAATAATGGGTGCACAGCACTTCTCCCCGTGTTGCTTGATTCAGAATTTGCTCCCACAAAGATGTAGTGATTGCTGCCAAGTTGAACAGCTCTAAAAGAGGATTAGATAAATTCATGGAGGATAAGACTATCAACAGTTAGTAGCCACCATGGCTGTGTTTCACCTCTACTGGCAAAGTCAGCACACCTTTGAACACCAGCTGGGAATTAAAGGTGGGGAAAGCACTAATGTTCTTATGTCCTGCTTGTGGGTGTCCCCCAGGCAGTTGGTTGGCCACTGTGAACACTGGTTGCTAGACTAGATTGGGCATCCAGCAGGGCTCCTCTTATATTGTTCTGTAGCACTCACAGCTACACATAATAATAATTATGATGATGATGAAACCTTTTTACTCAGAGCAGACCTACTGAAATGTATGAATCTAATTTTGGCCCTATCTGCACTATACTTTTAAATCACAATACCACCTTAAACAGTCATGGGATCTCCCAAAGAACCCTGGGAACTGTAATTTGTTAAGGGTGCTGAGAGTTGTCTAGGAGACCTCTATTCCTCTCACGGAACTATAATTCTCAGAGTTCCCTGGGAAACAGAATGAACTGTTAAACCACTCTGGTAATTAGTTATCTTCATTAATTTCAATGGGTCTGCTCTGAGTAAAAGAGTTGAATAGCGCCCATAGTGTCTTCCACACGACATCTAGTTTTGTCCTTGGCTCCTATGATGTTTCAGTCTTTAATGCTCCTTGACCATCCTCTAGGCCCAAGTCAGTGTTACCTACTGATAATGCTGGCCCTTCTGGCCATTTCTTAAAACAAAATAAAAATCACAGCCCCCATGTGATACTTGCCCTTTCCCTTTCCCCCTCCATGCAAGGGATAATGACTTCCCTAAGGCACCAAGATGATGCGAAACATACTCTATTATCGGCTGTGAAGTGCTGGGAATAGTCTGTACATGGAAAACTGAATGATCACCCTTATTCTTTTGATGATTCCTTCTGTGATAACATTGTTGACCACAGCTCTCTCTCTCTCTCTCTCTCTCTCTCTCTCTCTCTCTCTCTCCTTCCCTCCCTCCTCCCCCCACTCTCCATTTTCTAAATCTGAAAACATCAGCCTCCTGTGTGATCCATCCATAATTTTTCTCCTATATCCAGTTCACCTTACTACTTTTTCTTTGTTTTAAAGAAACACTCTGTTGCCTTAATATTGCAAATGCAGCCCCCCCTTTTTCAGGGGGGGGGGAGAGTTGTCCCTCTTATTAAGCCATGTTTTCTCTTTGAGTTCACTATTGTTTTCTCAGCCCTCCTGTCACAAAGCAGAGGTCACATCAACACGACCTTTTGCTGGTACAAGGAGGTTGCTAAATAATTCACATGGCCAACTTGATTTCTGAGTCCACATTTGTTTTTTCCACTCTCCTAATCAGGATGCTCATTTAATTCTATTCCAGCACCTGTTCAGCAATTAACACCCTACAATTTGCATCTTACCCTGACATTTGCTATCTTTCCAATTAGTTTTTATATCAGTATAATTAGGTAGGGTTATTACAGTGCATCTAACAGGGTCGAGGCTATTCCCAAGTCTTTTAAGCTCTTCCCCAGATTTGTTTAGGGATGCCACGGAGGGTAAATGGTTGATTAGGATCACTGTTTTTCTTCTTCATTCAGATCAGGAGAAAACTGTTTCCCCATGTGGCTCGTGAAAGAGCAGGGGAAATATATCAACCTAAAAGCATGAATATTATGTTGCTCGTGAATGCTAGGGTGAATTTTGGCAGGGTGAGTGTGAATGGTGGTGCTCTGACATCCCTTTATATGGCTTTAGCATGGGAGAAAATATAGCAAAATCTTTTGAAAAGTAGCACCCTGTGTGTGGGAAAATGAATGGAAACAACTTTGGGAAGAGCAAGAAGAGCACTCTGAAAGGCAGATTGTAAGCTCCCTCTCTTTTGCTAATGTCATTCCGTAAAGCATCCTGCACTTCTAATGGTACTATTATTGTTTTATTGTGATTATTTATCAGTACCTTTGCTGCACTGATCCACCAGAAGAAACTAGCACTATACGCTGTTAGCAAAATCCATGGTGATTCCTTAATTACTCTTATTAAAAAACCCCCACAGAGAAGCTTCTATGGAGAATTTGGAAACATCAGTCTCCCAGCTGATCCACTGTGATATATTCTGCAATATATTCTGCACAATTTGCAGAATTATTCTGCATAAACAGAGACGGCATGTTCTTTGAGAAATGTATTTTGTGTGTGCAATGGGACTCTCTGATCACAATCAAGGAGCCAGGCTGTTTGGGAGAGTACCACTAGAAGCAGTCCATGATGCAGCTTAAGTGGAAGTGCTGTCCTTTCTAGTTCACCTACATTGTCATATCTGGAAAATTTATAGGCATGGATGAGCAGTGGGAGGTGCCTTATGGAGAGCTACATATGGGTTTTGTACATCTCTCCCCTCCCCATGGCTTGATTGAAATTTCACCCTATCTCCTCTAACTAACCCACTATCTTATCCTGATTCTCTTGGGTTGCAATCAAGCACTTTTGCCACTGAAGTCAGCAGGTATAAATGTATATAAGAATACAGAACTGAACAAGGTGAGTTGTGGTTTTTTTTGGTAGGCATGGTTTTTTACATAAGGTTTTGAGAATATTGTTTATAGCATTGTGGTATAATAAGGTGAATGTTTGATGGTGTGAGATTAATGTAATCAACCCGAATCTGTCAATTTTGGTTTCTCTCAACTTCACATTTTCCCAATCTTCAGTTTTCCATATAATTTGTGATTTTTAAAAAAGGGTCATTGTGAAAATTCAACAGCAATGCAATGTATCAGCCCCCCTAATATACACAATTCAGAATACATTTTTGCCTGATGTGCACATTTTTGCATGCCTAATATAGTTTAGCCTAATAAAATGCATTTTTGTATGTTCTTTTCCCTATATTGTGAAATTTTTATGCACACTTCTTTTCTATATTCACATTTTTCAGTTGGAGAACTGCATAGCAAAATTCATGAATTATTTCAGGAAGTGTGAATTAGGTAGGTTCTCATTAAGGTACAAACCAAACTAAATTTCTTCCTGACCCTCTCTGTCCTTTGGGCATTTATTTGAATCTGCCTGTTCCATGGAATCCCACCATCACACCTCCTGCATTCCTCCCTTGTTTCATTCTGCAGTGGCTGACCAGAAACCACTACTACTACTACTACTACTACTAATAATAATAATACATTTTTATGTATACCCCGCCCGTCCTGGTTCAAAAACTGAGCTCAGGGCGCCTAACAACAAATTTAAAACACTTAATTGTAAAAGCAGCTTAAAATACAGTATAAAACATGAATAACAATAAAATTCAGTTCAGAATTCAGAAATCAATTTAGGGGAAATAAGCATTAGACAATCACCAGGGCTAGCTGGCTGAATTGGTCCTACTTGGGCCAGCGAGGAGGCCAGGGGAGAATTAGCTGTGGGGTCTCAGAGCGGGTAATCTTCATAAAAGGGGAGGGGGAGAGAAAAGAAGGGAAATAAAAGGTCAGGCTGAATTCAAATTAAAGGCCAGGCGGAATAGCTCTGTCCTACAGGCCCGACGAAAGCAGGTTAAATCCTGAAGGGCCCTAGTCTCCTGGGATAGAGCATTCCACCAGGTCGGAGCCATCACTGAAAAGGCCCTGGCCCTGGTGAAGGATAGTCTGATTTCCTTAGGGCCTGGGACCTCTCTAAACTATGGTTATTCATGGACCTTAAGGTCCTCTGCAGGGCAGACCAGGAGAGGCGGTCCCGTAGATACGAGGGCCCTAAGCCACAGAGGGCTTTAAAGGACCAGCACCTTGAACCTGACCCGATACTCCACTGGGAGCCAGTGCAACTGGTAAAGCACTGGGTGAATATGCTCCCATGGCAGGGACCTCGTGAGGAGCCTTGCTGCAGCATTCTGCACCCGCTGGAGTTTGTAGGACAGTTTCGAGGGCAGCCCCACGTAGAGCGAATTACAGTAGTCAAGCCTGTAGTTTGAGCACAAGAGCGCACTCTCCCACTGCAGTTTCCCACAACTAGTATTTAGAAACATTGCTGCTTCTAGCCGTGGAGGCACAATATAGCCATTATGGCTAGCAGTCATTGGTAGCCTTGCCTTCCATGAATTTCTCTAATTCTCTTTTAAAGCCATCCGGGTTGGTGACCTTCACTGCCACTGTGGGAGGAAGTGTTTTCTTTTATCCGTCCTGAATCTCTGAACATTCAGTTTCAATGTCCATGAGTTCTAGCGTTATGAGGGAAGGGGGAAAAACTTTTCTGTGTCCACTTTCTCTATGCCATGCATGATTTTATACATTTCCATCCTGTTACCACTCA